TTCAATATGTCATTCCATTCTCTCCTGGCCTGAAAAGTTTCTGTTGAGAAATCTGCCAACATTCTTACGGGAGGCTATAACTTGTATATAACCCCTCTCTTGTTGCTCCTAAAATTCTTTGTCTTTGACTTCTGACAACTTAATTATGTCTTATAGTGCTACCTGGGTTCAACCTATATGAATTCCTTTGGATCTCATGGATCAGGATGTCCTTTTCTCTCACCAGGTTTGAGAAGTTTTCAGCCATTGTTGCCTTAAATATATTTTCTTTTTTTTTTTTTTTTTGCCATTGTTGCCTTAAATATATTTTCTGTCCCTTTGTTTCTGATCTGGAATTCTTATAATACTAACATTGTTTCTTTTCAATATGTTCCATTTTACCATAGGCTTTCCTCATTCTTTTCACTTTTTGCTTCTCTGACTGGGTAATTTCTAATGTCCTATCCTCTAGGTCACTGATTCTTCCTTCTGTATGGATAAGTCTACTTTTGAAACTCTCTACTGAATTCTTCTGTTCAATTATCATATAGTAGACCCTTGAACACCATGGAGTAAAGGGTAATGACCTCCCATGCAGTTGAAAATCCATGTATAACTTTTGACTCCCCCACTCAAAATATAACTACTAATAGTCTACTATTGACTGAAGCCTTACTTATAACATAAACAGTTGATCAAAACATATTTTATATTTTATATGTATTGTATACTGTATTCTTACAATAAAGTAGGCTTGAGAAAAAATGTTATTAAGGAAGTCATAAGGAAAATACATTTACAGTACTGTACTGTATTTATCAAAAAAAAAATCTGTGTATAAGTGAATCTGTGCAGTTCAAACCCATGTTGTTCAAGGGTCAACTGTACTTTTCAACCCCAGGATTTTTTTTTTTTTGGATGGCTGCTTTTTCCTTGTCAAAATTCTCATTTTGTTCATGCATTGCTTTCTGAATTTTGTTTGTGTTTTCTTGCAGTTCACTAAATTTCCTTAAGAGGATTACTTTGAATTCTTTGACAATTCTTAGATCTCCATTTCTTTAAGATCAGTTATTAGAACTTTATTAGTTTCCTTTGGTGGCATACTTATCTGATTTTTCATGATCCTTGATTCCTTATGTTGTTATTTGAGCACTGGAGTAACTGGGCTCCTCTTTTAGACTTTACAAGTTTTCTTTGATAGAGACTGTTTTTTTACCAGTCAGCTCAATTTGGGTTTCTGGGTTTGTCTACTGCTAACATCCACAGGTAGCAGGGACTGCTATTATGGTCTATTTTGGGGTGAGGCAACCGTTCAAGCTCTGAGGATGGGGACGGGGAGTGTGCCTCTGGTTGAGAATAGTTGGATAGGAATGTTGGCTTGGTTCTCGACTTGAGTGAGGCTGTGGAATGGATTCCATGATTGCCTGGATTCTCTAGTCATGCTTACTAGATGGTTAGTACTTGGTACTATATTCAGTAGTATATGGGGCTATGAATTAACTTCCTTGCCGTGGCAGGGAAGCAGGATAAGACCCAGGGCCTATATAGCTCATTGTTTGGGGACCCAAATCAGGCCAGAGTGTGCACAGAATTCCCTGGTCAGGTGACGTCACTGGTTTTGTTCTGCAGATAAGGGATGACATGGGCAGTGCTCTCTGTTCAAGTACTACTTTAAGTAGGGCTGTTGAATGGGCTATGAAGCTTCCTGTGTGTTCTGGTTAGGTTCCCAGGTTGGACAGGCTGAAGGCTGTATTCAGTAATGAGTGGGTCTATGAATTAGATTCCTTGCCCAGGTGCAGTGAGAGAAGCAACTCTAAAGCTGGAGAGCTCTGGAGCTCCCTGGGGTCTAGTGGTTAGGATACGGTGCTCTCTAAAATTGGGAAAGCTCTTTGTTGTCTTAACTCAAGCCAACCTGCACCCCAAGTTTCCTAGCTGAAGAGGGCCACTGGCTTTGCTTTGTAAACTATTGACTTTGCCTTTCTCTAGACTCAAGCATTGCTGGACCACACACCTTCCAGGAGTTGTTGCCAGCCCTTTTGGTCAGATGGGCTAAAAGACACATTCCACAGTGGTATTATGTGTCAGCTCCCTTAACTGGGCAGGAGGGAAGAGGCTACTCCAGGCTACTCTCCAAATTTTCCAATATTCTCCTATTTCCCAAATAGGCTCTCCAGTTGGGAAGGGCTGAGAGCTACCACCACCCTTGGCTATAAATTAATCTTCCTGCCTGTGCATAATAAAAGAATCCTTCATACTTGGTACTGGATTTGCTCTGGGGCTGATCAGCTCTGCCAGCCTGCCTCCTGGCTGGAGTACCACTGAGCTTCCAGAAGTTGTAGCCAATGCTTATGCTCACTGGGACCAGAAGATACTCTCAACAGTGGGTGGGGCTGTAACTCAGCTCCCTGCTTGGGAGTGGAGCAAACCAGGCTCTAGAGATGGCAAAACTCCTCATCTGAGGATCTAATTCAGTCAGATGTGCACCCCACTGAGTTTCCTGGTCAGAGTGAGCCCCTGACTTGGTTTTGCAGATGAGCAAATCCACCAGTTGGGATTATTACTTGGGCACTACAGGTATGAACTTGGTCTGCCAATATCCATGTGCTGATTATTGCAAGCCCCTTCCCCCTTCTCCATCCCAGTCAGATTCTCAGTGGTTGAGCCCCACAGACTTCCCTGCAATAACTGTGGGGCAAGATCAGAGTATGGGCTTTCATAAAGTAACCCCCAATGTTGGTGGGGTGGCTGTGCTCCCTGGGTTCTTTTCCCACTGGAGGAACCAGAAGCTCAGGGGAGACCTCTCCATGTGCTGCTGCACTAGCCTGAAGGGAGACACAATGTGGTCAACATGTAGCTGCTTCTCTTGCCCTTCTGATGAAGTCTATCTTGGTCTCTGAGGTAGAGGAAGGTGCAAAGCCTCACCCCCATGTTCTAGGATTCTTTCAGTGGTGTCTTGTTTTTTAATAGCCGTTAGTTGTTCTTGTGGGGGGGAGGCACAAAGTCAGGAACAACCTATGTTGTCATCTTAGTGAAATCACTCCCTGCCCTGTAATTCTTAACTTTCTTGATAGGTCTCTGATGTTCTCAAACCAATTAAAAACAAATACGCACACATGCGTACACACACACACACACACACCTTCAATGTTTTTCACTTTTCTCAGAAGGAGAGTTGGTTCTAATGATCTAGTCTGCCATTATTGGAAATGGGTTTCTATCACTGTCTTTGTTTTTTGCACATGCTATCCTGACTAGAATATAAAATATTTCTGTGTGGACAATATATCCTATGCATTCAGAACCTAACAGGCTGCCTGTCATACAATAATTGGAAAAATAACAATGTGTAAGTCTTGGCAACTAATGAGAATATGTGGCCTGATGATGGAAGAAGAATAAAATTAAATATAACTAAGATTTCTAAAGCTTGACTTTAGAAATGGTCATGGCATTCCTAGGTTTAATAAAAGAAGTCAAGAGAAGAAAGAAAGAGGAGCAGAATTGGTGGGAAGTTGACTTTGGTTTTTGGATATGCTGAATTTGATGTATCGGTAAGGTACTTAAGTGAAAGCGGTGGGAATAGATACCTGATTCCAGGTATCAGTTGTCAGGGTAATTCCTAAGAGAAAGGAAATATTAAGAGAAAGGAGCTGAATATAAAAATATTAGAGAACGTCTAACTATATGTAGGAGGTTAAGTAAGAGGAAGAACCTTTCAGTAAATAGAAGGATGTGCACAGCAGGAAAAAGAAACTCAGAATGCCACTTAATGGAAGAAAAGGAGGACAAGAGTTGGGAGAAAAAAACAATTATTAAATGGTCAAATGTGGCTAAAAGGTCAATCAGGCTCTGGAATGAAAGAAGTCTTATAATACATACATACCATCTATCTTCTAAGTAGTAAAAGAAGGCAGGAACGTGGAAGGCTGGAGGGTGTTTAATTTTTAAGTGAGAAAAAAAATTCAGAAAAGAATGGAGACAATTTTAAGTTGTCAATAGAGGAATAAAAAAATTTATAAAGAGATTTGAGGTCTCAAAAGAGGCAGGCAGTCAATATTTGCAAAATTATGTGACTTTTTTCCACCAGGTTAGTATCTTGTGGTGAACTCAAGAGAGGGAACTACTTTTCAGGAAAACATGAGAAATTCACTTGCAGACAATTTTGAAGATTGGTAAACATGGAAAAGAGAATGGAGTCTGCAAGCAGATTTGGGAGTTATCTACACAGAAATGATAGTTTAAAACAATGGTATATGTAGTATTTATATGTCATAATTTCTATCAGTAAAAAAATGGTTATTTTCTCTCTTACAGAGAAATAATAACTAATCCAAAAATAGTTTCTATCTCGGTTAGTAAGTGTGGATTTGTTTTTGAGAACCTTAAAATTGTCCTATTTTAACTTGAAGAATAATCCTATTACAACCAAATGGTTATCAGAATCCTAAAATTGTAATTAGCAAGAGGATATTCATGAAACTTGCCAGAAATGTGAATGTAAGCTTGAGTACAGCAGTTACTGAACCAATATTATGGAAAAATTCTCCCATCTCTGCCTGTCTGTGCAATGCATTATTTGGAAAAAAAGACAAAACATATGCAGGGCTACTATTTTACCAGTAATACAATGGCCACAATTGTTTATCATCAATTTCTGTTCTCATTAGCTACGAGTTTAAGCTGTATTGGTTGTAAAACATTTTAAATATAACTCTTGTTCATATGCTAAGTCACTGAATTACTTATATATAACATTTCAATGCTTCTAAAATTCTAAATTACAATTGACACAGACTACTTTACCATTACACCAACTCTTTGGGACAAAAAGGAATCATTAGCGTCCCCACTTTAATAATGATTAAGCTAAGATACAGCTGCTGCATACTTCTTTGTTACTACTCACATTATGCTCAAATTCAAAGCTTCTTCCAACAGTAACAGTGACCCTGAATAAATTCACCTGGGCTAAAAGTCATTTCATTTACAAGACAACATAGTTATTATTAAAATTTTCATACCATTTGGTGATGCCATAACATTCTTTAATAATATCCTGAAGGACGGCTCGATAGAAGAGTGATTCGGTAGGCAGCTGAAAAAAATGTAGATATATATATGAGCACAAGAAACAAAAAACATAAATTGAATCAATACTAGAGAGTCAGGACCATAAGTGAATGTTAGAAACCTGACTTTGTTACAAAACATAGAGGACACTTTAAAAATTTTTTCATTCTAAGTTACATTAACACCCTGTGGCTAAAATTCACTGAGAAAGTATTCTGCATGAAAATAGAAGAAACTATAAGAGAAATGGTAGTGAGTGAGGAAGAAAAAGCAAAATCAAAGAAAAATGAGCTAATGTCCCAAATGGAGTGCCGTTCAATTTAAAATGTGGAAATAAATTTTCACGACCAGCCAAATCAGCTCTGGAGCCTGTAAGAGAGCAGTCAGGTAGAATACGTGCAAAAGAGAAGAAAACGTGGATTTGTCCTAATGGCGGTGGAACAGAGATAGTATCATTTAGGATTCACACCTGCAAAGAGAAGGTACTATTCTAAGGACATTCTAAAAATATGTCTGAGCTCTGAAAGATCATAGCATTGGCTACTGTTGAGTTGAAAAGGATACGCTTTTTGTCTTTTAGAAAGGACATAGGATCAGGTATCCATGAATGTTTTCCAAAGGAAAGAAGGTATGGCTGAAAAGAAAGGCCCCAGTGAAACATAATTTTGAAGAAGTAGAAGGTAAAAAAAAAAGTACTACACATAAAATAAAACACTTCACTGAAAAAATGGAAGTGGTACTCAAACTAAGAAACTACAAAAGTCACCCAAACTCCATCCATATCCCCCTGGACCTCTTAATATTGACAGTGTAAATAAATCTAACATGAAATATCAAATATTGTCAGCAACAACCCTAGTTCCATGCCAAGTTACTAATGGAAAAAAAAAAAAAAAAGGAAAGAAAAATGAGCCAGAGTAGCGGGAGGTCAACAATATTGTATGGTTCTGAAAAGTCTAATAAGGTGAAAACTCCAAACTATGCAGTGATTGGTAAAGTTTTAAAGACAGAGGTCATTAGACTGTATATATTCCCTGAGTTATCCTTTTGTAACTTTTATTCTCCTTCCTAGCACAGAATTGTTATTTTCATCTGTTTTCAACTAAAATATGTTCGGATTCAGATGGAGTTTAGCACAAAATAAAATCTTGCCTGTGTGCTCAGGCAGAAAACTTAACTCTACTGCTCCTATCCTCATCTGACCGCAAGTTCCTACACTGTGGGCCCCTGGTGCTGAAACTACAAAAAAACACAAATTGGGGAGTTGAGGGTCAACCAACCATTATTTCTTGGGTCTTGTCACTGGACAATGTCTGACTTGCAGGATCTTGATAGAACACTTGGAAAGAACACACGTTATATCCTTTCTGGATGGTGGGAATAGTGGGGAGGGTGATTCTAGTCAGAAATGGTGTTAGGAATACCACAGTCCCCAGTTCAGCTCTTAAAATAACATACTGACAGCAGACATTCATACATACTTGAGTGCCCACAGTAAAATTTATAACCTTCAAAAGACACACTTCTTATATAATATCTCTTTCTAAATACAACTCCTTGACTTAAGACAAACTGATTTCTAAACTTTTTTTCTGGAAGACTGCTCCAAAACATTTCATTCTAAATTTCCCATCTCCGGATATACTTTCTTTCTTTTTTTTTTTTTTTTTTAATTTATTTATTTGACAGAGAGAGAGCACAAGTAGGCAGAGTGGCAGGCAGAGGGAAAGGGAAAAGCAGGCTCTCTGCTGAGCAGGGAGCCTAATGCGGGGCTTAATCCCAGGACCCTGGGATCATGACCTGAGCCGAAGGCAGCTGCTTAACCAACTGAGCCACCCAGGCACCCCTTGATATACTTTCATTTGGCATTTTTTCATCTTGAGTAATTCTTTTTTGCAGTACTAAAAATCTCTATCATCTGTCCCTCACATCTCCCCAAATCCCTTCAGTTTTCTCACAAAAATGCTGAAATCCCCTTTCATACATTAACACCTATTGTTCTATTGAAATTCAAGGCATTCTGGGAAATATATTATTACATGAAGTAAAATATTAGCATTAGTATTATAAATGCTTACGAAGTTCTTAATTTTTTATTTGGTTAAGCTATATAATAAATAGGAAGTTTAATTTTATGTAAATTTTATATGAAACTCTAAAAATAGAGCTGGTATCTGAACCAAGCCTAGCTCAGATGTCCCTGTACCAAGCCATAATGCTATTTTGCCTCTTGGACACTTGGGCAGGGATGAGGTATCATTAGTTTTATTATGTACTTCATTTAGGGAAAAAAAATCTTAAAAATATGGTGTGCCTGGGTGGCTCAGTCAGTTAAGGGGCTGACCCTTGACTTCGGCTCAGGTCATGATCTCAGGGTCCTGGAATTAAGCCCCATGTGCAGCTCCATGCTCAGTGGGGAGTCTGCTTAAGGATTCTTTTTCTCCCTCTCCCCTTCCCTCTGCTCTTTCTCTCTCTCTAAAAACAAAAACCAAAAAACTCTTAAAAATAAAGCTTTCCATTCCCTGCCTTTGAGAAAAATTATATAAATGGTAGCAAGATAATTTAGAAATAAATGTATATTTATATTGTTATTAAAAACTGGTTGAAGACGACAAAAAGAAAAAAAACAAGAAATGCATTTAAACAAGAGATTATACAGAAATGCATACAGAAATACAAACAGGATAGAATAAATCATCATTCCCAAGTTATCCTGAGTAAATAAGAGCTTTACAGCTGTCTCCTAAGAGAAAGGGAAGAGAGTTATGAAGTACCTTCAAATGTGCATTCCTGGAGTAACTAGGACTATCCATCCTGGTAAATACGTACTGGGGGTAAGTGGGAAGGGAATCAACAGCTCCCCACCCCTGTCTGTCTGACTATTCCAAGAATAAACTGGATGTGGCTCAGAGTTTACTTTCCTTCACAAGTGATAAATCAACTTAACACTTTAATGCATTTTAAATGGGAGGGAGCAAAAAGAGCACACCCTTAAAGTATATTATCTTAGGCATGCATTTTACAGGTCTAGTGGAAAGGGCTCTAAGCTGGAAGTCAGTACTCTGCAATTAATTAAGGGAGCTAGAATGCACTATTAAACTTCTGCTGTTCTGCTGTGTATCATGTTCTCATGTAAGTTTGGGGTAATACCCAACTTATAAGATTACTGTAAACATGACTAAGCACTTGGGAAATTGAAAAATACCACAAAAATGCACAGGAACATTATTATGATAAAGTCTCTTTCCTCTTCCATATCCCTAGGGAACCACTAGGTTGATATGCAATATAGCTTTTAACTGCAAACCAGGAGTTTGAGACTAAAGCCCACACACCTAAACAATATGTTCTAATGCCTTTAAAAAATCAGTTTTTATCAACTTTTAGATAGGTACAATGAATACATTTTTTAATGAGATTATGGTTGTTATGCAGAGTTAAGTCTTTATCTTTTCCATTGATAAGAGTTTCTAGAGATTTATTTTTTAATTTTTTTTTTTAAAGATTGTATTTATTTATTTGACAGAGAGAGAGAGACACAGCAAGAGAGGGAACACAAGCGGAGGGGAGAGAGAAGGAGAAGCAGACTCCCCACCGAGGAGGGAGCCCAATGCGGGGCTCGATCCCAGGGCTCTGGGACCATGACCAGAGCCAAAGGCAGACACCCAACGACTGAGCCACCCAGGCACCCCCAATGAATACATTTTTTAAAGAAAGTTCTTAGCATCATGCCTGGCCCAGGCATGATTAAATACTCAGTAAATGATATTTGTTGCTATTGTCATTTTCAAAGTATTATTTTTAAAAATTTAAATTGGCATATTAACATTCCTTAAAAAAAAAGCAAAAAAGAGATTTCTAAAATTTAGGTCTAACAAGAAAAATCTTGTGAAAAGCTTAAAAAGAATTCTTAAAAATTTTTTAGAAATTCCCAATATGTTTCATGAATTATAAGGTAGAGGATAAGGCAATTACACAGATATTCTGGGGATACATTTAACTTGTTTATATGTGCAAGCCCATTTGGCTATTTCAACTAATGACTAATCAAGTAAAATAAGGAAAAGAGTTAAAAAAAACAAAACAAAATGTGTGTTTTGGACTATAGGTAAAAAATAAACTGAATGCTATATCATGTTTACCTTTGCTTGAACTAAGTCCATAAAAGCCTAATAGTCAGCAACAGCAGTCTTTAGAAATATTTATAGACTGTTTATTATGAAGAAATGAGACATTAGTACAAGAAAATAATGTAGAAGTTTTCTTAAAAGTTCAATTTACTTTTTCTGAAAGTTCACTTCTCTTTTAAAGTAAACTTACAGAAAATGTATAAATTTGAATATGAAGAGGTGATATTTATTAAAAGCCATCAGGTTTTAAGTTCATCAGCAGGTCAAGTACGAAGAGTACTTTAAGGAACCATCATGTCCATCTGCTATATTAGAGTAAACATTCTTACTTACCCCTTGGCCAACTGCAACTCGTTCCAATGCCTTTGGAGAAAAAATAAAGAGAAAAAGATAAGACAGAGACTGCTCATATATTTAGTCTTACCTTATAAGACTTATAAACACACTGTATAAGGGCTTATAAAAGTGACATTAAAAAAGATTAATTGATAACATGTAAGTTTATACATTTAAAAGTGTTAATATCATTAAGGAATGTTAACCGGTATACCTGTATAATTTAGGGTTGATTTATAATGATGTGTGTCATGTACACAAGCACAAACATACCTCAACTGTATACACTCCTTCAATTTTAGAAAAAATAAGAAAACGAAATGAAATAACATGCTCTTGGCTCACTTTTAGTTTAGCTAAAACAATCAAATAAATCCAAAACTATTATTTTTTTAATCTAAAGCTATTATTATGTGTGTGTATATACAACTTTTAACTTATTTTCATCTAATTTTTTATAAACGTAGTTTCATATTTTATTATAGAAGGTAATATTGAACAGATTGTATTTTAAAACTTAGTTTAGAAAAGTATGTATAGTTTTGATCTGCCTGGTCTGCAATTCAAATCAAATTCACATATGATCAAGTGCCCAGTAGAAAAGAAAGTAATACATATTTTTATAATTTTATACATAGCTAGTTTTTATATTTATATTTATTTAAGATCCAGAACATTTTTAGAAAATATTTCCTAATATTTCTAATAAATACTCACAATCCAACATATATGAAAGGTTATATGAAAGATTTGCCATAATTTAAATATGGAATAGAGGCTTCTAAAACTTTCATTTTTTAAGAGACATAAATTTCCACACTTACGTAGTTTATATTTATATATTATATATAACTGATTTATATATATTATTTATAACTGAATTACATTAAAATATTTTAATATTTATATTTTTTAAATTTTAAATAGTTCAAACACAAAGAAGTAAAATATAACAGATCTGCATATACTTCCTATTCCATTTTAAAAGACTCATATTCGCTTTAGATAGATGTTCTTCATAATCATATACTTGTTAGATATAGCTGAATCATATACTTCTAAGACTAATGGTAATTTACAGATTATCCTATATAAGTACAATTTTTTCAGCTACACAAGCTCACTGACAAGGTAAAGTACTTGCCACAAGTTGTATAGCTAGGTAGCAAGTGAGCAAGAAGTAAAACTTTGTTCTATGAACCCTGATTGACTTCTCCTGCCCTCATACCATGAAGATTTAGTGGGAAAATGAGTTCACTGTATAACAAGTTGCTTCACAGAAAGTGTTTGAAGAAAAAAATTGCAATTTTTCCATTGACTTGAAGGATACCTTCACTGAACATTTAAAGCCACAGATTTATGAATACAGGAGATATTATGTAATTTTCATATTAAATTAAACAACAGGCCCAGAATAAATTTATTATTGAAGAAAACACTGATTTTCATTTACAGTACTATTTGTGCTCATTTCAGATTAGATTTTTGTGTTATGGCTTTTGCTAAAAGACTGAACTGAATAAAGAAACAAGAATTTTTAATAAGTTGCTTGGTGTTGATAAAAGTATCTGCTTTTAGGTAAGTATAACTAGTTAAAAGTAGTCAATAACAAGACTACTTTTAGTATGTGTTGCTGATGAGGGATTTTAGAAATACAAATGATAAATTAGGATGACATAATAAAAGATAACCAGGTAGGTGATAAGAAGTTTCTTGCAAACATTAGTATTTTTCTTGGCCAATAAATAAAGATAATGAAGAAAATAAACCAAGTGTTTGTGTCATACTAATCTAAAATATTTTGCAGTTTTATCAGGGTTAAAGTATGCTGACAAGATTGTATTAATCTAATTAAAATTTTATCTCTGGTTAGTACCCTTAACAATTTATCTGAAAGCATCACCAGAAAGGTCTCATTCTCCTTTTTTAACCCCTAAGGCTTTGATTATTTGTGGAAAAGGTCAGGTATGGAACAAAAGGCAATAAAAAATGCACAAAAAAAATGTTCCTTAGCCTCCAAAAAAGAAGCCAAGGTAGCCAGGGACTGGGATGGAGCCAAGGAGAGGGGCATTCCATAGGAAGCTGACATCGGTCAGGAAAAGTTATTAAGTGCAGTGTGGTCTATAAATTCTATATTCTGAAATTTATTTTTCAAAAATGCTTTTTGTTTCTTTGAATGTTTATTTTCATAGCAACCACTTCTGTTTTATGAATGCAGTATATTCTTTTATCTAAGGGATATTAATAGCTATTTTACATTATTTTATTTTATTTTGTATAGTCTCCACTTCCACCAAGTTTCTTTTCTTCTGCTTATCTGATTTCTGTTCTTTCACGTTAGAAATTCTTTAGGTATCTAGAGATTCTTGGCTGTCTGCTGATAATTAAAATAGGGGTATCATAAACCTGATTAGAAGTATTATGCTCATGAGTGAGGACTGCTAATTGTGGGCTTCATCATAAAGATGACATGTGTCCTGCTTATTACCACAATGCATGTAAAGTAGTAGATAATGTTGTAAGGGCAAGTCATTTTTTTCTTAAAATTTGCAATGCACAAAAGCATTAATAATGATGCTCTGCAAAACTTGGCATTTAATTCATGATATTAGCCAACAATAATAAATTCTGCAACATCTGGATAAAGCTTAGTTCAGAAAAAAATATAATCATACCAAACATGCTGACATTCTGGCATTACGACCACAGCACCATCTCTCTTCCTTTAAATACTGGCACATTGGAAATCCCCACTTTTCTTGGGTACTTTCTGCAGATGGAAGAAAAATATGGATTATTTAAATAAGATTCTTCCTCTTTCAGTTAAAGTAAACAATCTATTAAGAAAGAAAAGCAGTCATTGAGAGTCAAACAGTAGTTAAACATGGAGGTAGTAATGTTTAACAGTTCATGCCAATCTGTTAATTAAAAGCATATTAATGTTATGAAAGTGGTATTTTCAACAACAGCTGTTTTGTGTTTAAGCTTTAGGTCTGATACTAACCAAACTGCCAAAATTATTTTTCTAAGATTTAGCAAAAGCAATTTAAAATGGAAGTACTCTTCATGTTCAGTGTAACTATAGGAAATAAGTAATGAGATACTGGACATTTACTGCTGACCTGATTAGATTTCTAAAAAAAAATGATTTGTTAAATGACATTTGGTAATTTATTATAGAACAATATTAATTCATCCCTAATAATGATGAAGCCTCAATTTTTTTTTCAGCCACTATATTCACTTTCCAGGAAAAGAACAGCTGTATAAGCTCTTCTTTTTCATTTTATTAACAGGCTGCAATATTTTCAATTGTGATCCAATTTGGCTCAGTTGCATATATGGTTTAAGTAACAACAACAAAAATCAACATTCACTGCTTAATCACACATATCTTTTGCCTAACTCACTTACAGAGTTGCATATGCAATTTGCGGATGTTCAAACCCTTAATGCAGAACTATTAATTACACAGGGATTTTGAAAAGGAAAACAAATTTCTTTTTTAAATTGAAGCCTAAAAAATAAGAGCTTAAATTTTATCAAGACTGTGACAATTTAAAGAAAAATACAAATTTTCTATTAGGTTAAAAAGTAAAAATAGAATTAAAACCTCGAAAACATAAAACACTTTAAAAGAAAATATTATTTAAAAAATAAATAAAAAGAAAATACTGTTGAAGTAGAATCCACTAGGTAAATTTCTCTGCTATGAAGGATCAGATGACTTTTGATTCAAATAGTGAAAGTTTAAATTTCATGCATATCATATGCCTGTGAGAGTGGTTTCTTTCAGTTCGTAAATTAAAATTTATAATAGACTTTACTGATAATCAGTTGGAAGATATGGACCTTTCCCTGGGAATATAAATAATAATAATGCTAGTGTTTATATAGCACTTAATATTGTGAGGCACTATTGTAAGTGCTTTAAATGTATTAACTAACTAGCTTTAGTCCCTACAGCAACTCTTTGAAATAGGTACACTATTATTCTCATGGCTTAGCTAGGGAAACTAAGCACAGGCAGGTTAAGTAAACTGCCTAAGTTGCAAAATCTAGCACATGGTGGGGTAGGATTTAAACAGAGGCAATCTGACTCCAGAGGCCATACTCTTAACCACCAAGCTATATAAACAATTTCAATTACACATGCACAGGACTTGTGGAGCCCTTGAAGCCCATCCAGGTCCTGGGGACCCTTGGACTACTTCCTCTAGTTCCAAGATGACTTGAAACAGCAGTTTGAGTTTTATTTAAGGCTTTATAATTTTACTAAGACATGATTACCACTAAATAAAAGAATTAGTGTAAGGTTTTTTTTTTCTTCTTATAACCAAAAAGAGAAATATCTAGATCTTACTGTAAAGGGTAAGGGGCTAGAGAGATAGGTTTGTGCTATTTTATTCAGAATAGTTAGGAAAGGTGCTAACCAATAAAATAGCTATATCTTCCCTTTCTCCTAGCCATTGTCTTACTCCTTGTGACAGTGATCCCAATGATGGGATTAGTCCTGGCAGTCCCTAGAAAAACAGTGGTGAAGCTATGAGTGTGTGGTAGGGGGAAGATGGGTGGGAATTATCCAGCGGAATACTGAGTTCTGGGATTCCCAGATTTCTAGTAATAAAGAGAAGATGAAGGCATGGATACATAGGACCCCTGGTATCCCTCTTGATTTCAGATGACATAAATATGGAAGCCACCAGCGGAGGCTTCCGAGCACATGGGGCTGTCGTTAGAAAAATGAAGACTAGTAAAAGAAGGTCTTACTGCATGATCACTAACTTGTACTGATGAAGGTGATGAGGGTAGAGAAGGGATATGGTGTTCCTAAGGGCACATAAAGCTATTCTTTTCCACTACAATAAAGGCCTACAGAAGGGTAGTTTTTGTGTATAAGGGAGCTTCCTCTCCAACCCTACATAACTGTGATGGCAGAAGGGCAATCTTACTCGATGTATACGGCTCCCTGAATCTCTGGCCAAAACACCTAAGATCCTAGGGCTCTTATAGTTTATAGGAATTGCCAGCCTTGGTTCAGGGTTATGTAAAATCTCATCAAAGCCTCCTTCCTTTGGACACCTGGTGGTTGTGGAATCTCCTTGAAGTTTTCTGAATCTACATCACAGTTTCCTCTGTGGTTGAGGTCATGGTGGCCTCACAGCTCTGCTCATTTTTTAAAAGTAAGTGCAAACAACTGATACAGAGGCAGGACATCCTCAAAGTCAAACAAAGCCTTTCATGTACAGGTTCAATATTATCTTTGGAATCTATTTCAGCAGCTTCATTTTGACTGCAGTGAAGAAGGAGGCTCACTTCTATGTCCCGAATCCAAGTCACAGAGTTCGGGTTTCTATTGATATCAATCTCCTATTTAACTGTGTTCATACATTTAAATCTAGTCAAACTGAGCTTTAACTACCCTTATCAGTTGCTTTTCCCTAGGATCACTTTCAGGTTATCTTTAAATGATAATTTTGGAATAGATGAAGTCTCTTGTTTTTTTCTTCTATCCCATTTCTTCTTTGTTGGCTTTAGAAATCCATTAATCTCATAAAAGGAGAGCTTCTACTAGTTCTTCCTTCTTGTGTTAATATTATTATTATCCACTTAGTTAAGCAAGTTTTAAAAACCATCTTCTATTATTCTTTCCTTTAATCCCCAAGTTCTTATATACACAACCTCTTAATTATACCTCCTTTTCATCTTCAATCTTCATTAGCTCTTGACTGGGTAAATGCAATACCTACTTACTAATTCTCTTTTTCTCTTTTCTTTAGTCTTGTCCATCCTTTATATTAAGAGGAACATTATCTTTCTAAAACAGACATCTAGAGCACCTGGGTGGCTCAGATGGTTAAGCATCTGCCTTCAGCTCAGGTCATGATCCCCGCGTCCTGGGATCAAGTCCCGCATCGGGCTCCCTGCTCCTTGGGAGCCTGCTTCTCCCTCTGCCTCTCTCTCTCTGTCTCTCATGAATAAATAAATAAAATCTTTAAAAAAAAAATTAAAAAAAAAACAAAATAAAATAGACACATCTAACCATGTCACTCCAATAGCTCTTGTTTTCCTCACCACTAGCATCTATGAGACAAAACCTAATGCGTATTTTTCTTACTGTGGATTTTCAGGAGGTTCTGATACTCCTTCTTTGTAATATTCTCTCCCTCTGGTTCCATGATACCATGCTCTCTTATTTGTGGCCTAATGCTCTTCATATCCCCTGATAGTTTGTTATTTTGTGTCTACTGAATGTTCATAAGGATTAATCCTATCCCCCCCTTCAAACTTTTTTGAAGAAGGATTCAAAGTGAAATGATTTCAGTTGGTAAATAAATGTATGAAGCAGCTAGACAGAATAAAATAGGTACTAATCAATTTGTATGGTAACTAAGTATCTCATCTGTCCAGTCTTATTGCTACTTAAAGCATAATTTGGGCATAATACAACTGTCAAAATTGCCCAAAATGAGTCTGGGGGCACTCACTATCAGTGAGAGCCAGTGGGTAACCTCTGCTCCATCTCTATGCTTTCCCTAGGCAATCTTACCTATACCTCAATATACACTAATGATTCCTGTAGTAATTTCCTAGGGCTGCTGTAACAAATTACTACACACTTGGTAGCTTGAAACAACAGAAAGGTATTCTCTTACAGTTCTGGAGGCTAGAAGTCTGAAATCAAGGTATGGGCTGGACCATGCTCTCTCTGAAGGCTCTAGGGAAGAATCCTTTCCTTGCTCCTTCCTAGCTTCTGTTGGTTGCTGGCAATCCTTGGCATTTCTTGGCTTATAGTTGTACCACTCCAGTTTCCGCCTCTGTCTTCACATGGCTGTCTTCCCTCTGTGTCTCTCTGCTTCCTCTCCTCTTCTTTTAAGGACCCTCACCATTGGATTTAAGGTCCACCTTATTCCATTATGACCTCATCTTAACTAATTACATCTATAAATACCCCATTTCTAAATGAGGTCACATTCTGAGGTTCTGAGTTGATGTGACTTTTTGGGAGACACTATTCAAGCTACTCCAATTCCTAAATTATATCTTCAACGACTCTTCTCTAAGATCTAATTCTACATCACAAATAGCCTAACTACCATCTCCAAATAGTTATTTCATCGGCACTTGATAATCAACATGTCCAAAATCTAAATAACTGAATGACACAAAACCACATATCCTAAAGTTTCCTATTTCCGTGACTGGCATCAACATTTATTCGTTTACATGAGTCAAAAAAATTCAGGAATCTTCTCAGATACCTCTTCATACGTAGCTTGTTTTAGAAATTCCAGTTTATTTTTGCCCTAAATATTCCTCAAATCCATTCATATTCTCTATTTCCACCATCCCAAACTACTATGCTACGAAACTGCTATGAAAGCCTCTTGACTGGTTACCAACACATACTCTTGCTCCTTTTTATTTCAGTTCCAGTATTGCAAAGTGATCTTTTAGAATATAAACCTCATCAGTTCATTTCCTGATTTAACAGGTCCTTCTTCTCCTTTCAGATTGAAAACCAAGAAACAGACTCTTAACTACAAAGAACAAACTGATGGTTACCAGAATGGAGGTGGATGGGGGGATGGGTTAAATAGGTGATGAGGATTAAGGAGGGCACTTGTTACGATGAGCACTGGGTGTTGTACGGAACTGTTCTATCACTATATTGTACACCTGAAACTAATACTACATTGTAATGTTAACTAACTGGAATTTAAATAAAAACTTCAAAAAGAAAGATTAAGACCCTGTTCCTTAACGTGA